GCAGGAATCCGAATGGGACTGCTTAGAGTGCGTGTCAGAGCCAGAACATTTGCCTGAAACAGCTAAAATTTTTTGCTGAATCCAGATCACACGTTGATACTATATTGTTTCGGGAGTAGGAAGCAATTAACTGTTGGGTTACGGCCACAAACTGAGACCTGATGGTTGCTTACAGGATGCTCTATTCAACGCATAGTTAACTGGACTCGGATTTGATGTAAAATTGGAATGCCACTAGTTTTCTGTATTCCAATGCCTCCAAACAGTTCATTAGAATCTCGCCATTAGCACTGCAACTCTAAGGCCAGGTGTTTGTGTGAAATGTGCTTCTTGGGGCTGTACCCAGCAAGCAGGGGCTGCCCGGGCACACGCAGCTATTGCCACGCTGGCTGTGGGCAGCTTTCCTTTACCTCTACCTTTCCCCTCAGGCCTCTGCAATAGAGCGGGGAGGAACGCGGGATCGTTTTGGTGTAAGGCCTGTTTAGAGCAAGCTGAAGATCGGGCTCTTTCTCCACTCTTCTGTGGTTAAAGAAGGAAAGGGAAAAGAGAAAAAAGGCTGAGCAGTGTCTCATGGCGTAATAGAGAAGTAGACAGAGCGAGACACCAACAACAGAAAAGCTGTGTGCTCCACATTGTAGGAATAAAACACACGCAGATTGATGAGACACAAGGGCACGCCGAGCCCACGCAGATCCCAGCACGCTGCAAGAAAACACAAGGTTCTCACAACGCGTTACGTTACAAAAGGTTTCTATACACAACCACTTATTACTAGGACTCTGTTTTTCCCAGCTTCTCTTTGCTGCATTTGCCACAGAAATCACCTCTTTAAGAGCCCAGCGCTAACATCTGTCCCCAGCTCCGCGCTGTCACAACGGCTCTCGTGGGCGCTCACAGCGGGGCCCACAGCTGGGCCGGAGCGGGGAGGCAGCCAGACTCGTTTTGCTTCTGTATTTCACTCCCAATTGACCTTTCCGCCGCAGCCTTTAGCTGCAGCACTTGCTCCTCTGCTTTTCCTTCCTGCACGGCGCAGTCTATTAATTTTCAGCATTCAGCACGTCTCCGCCAGGCTCCTGCCCCCCGTCCTTTGGTGTCAACCCTCTTGCATTTTCTTTTCATTTCTCTCTGCTTTCACTCTGGCAGCAATCACGAAGGCCAAGCGGAGGCCCCGTTTCCCACCATGCCAAGGAGCCCCACGCCAGCCCAGGTCCCTCTTCTCCGACCCCCTGGCGAGGCCGCGCTCACACGTGCGGCTCCCCGGGGAAGACGCTCACGGTCCCCGGCTCCCTGCTGTGCTACCAGCACTGACCCTGGCTGGAACCCCTGCTCCCCTCGGCTAGTCCTTCATACTGGGGGGCATCTCTGCCCTCCCCCTTGGGGCATCTCCAGAGCCCTGGCACAGGCTGCCCGGAGGGGCTGCGGAGGCTCCTTCTCTGGAGATCTTCAAACCCACCTGGATGGACCCTGTGCCATGGGCGTCCCTGCTTGTGCAGAGGGGCTGGACTAGATCTCTAGAGGTCCCTGCCAACCTCAGCCATTCTGGGATTCTGTGATATCCCCCTTCCTCTGGGATCTCCCTACACTTCCCTTCACAAACTAGAGGGGAGAAAGAGCCGGGAGCCCATGACACCTTGCAGCCAACACCGGTGCCGTGGCCCTTTGTGGCCCCCTGCCCTCGTTACCTTACTCTCCACCACAGAGATGAGGATCTGCTCCATGATGTTGCTGGTGGCCGGGACGGAGCTCGGGATGTGGCCGATGACCACGCCGATGGCCACGCGGGACAGCTCGTAGCTGAGGTGCGTGTTCCTGCGCACCAGCTCGATGAGCTCGGCCCCGATGGTCTTGGGCACGG